ATAGTGCTCAACAGCCTCCTGTGGCCAGTGGCTATTGTACTGGATAGCTCAGTTATATAGATAGTATAATTATCTACACAGAAAATATAATAGACTGTACCACCAAAGTGTTATAAAAAAAATAGGACAGTTCAACAATGTTTCTGGATAAATTATAATTATACAAAAATTCACAATATAATAACCTGCAAAATGTAGAAAATATATTTTAAAATAAAATATATTTAAGATACCAATAAAATGATAAGATACCCAAGAATAAATTTGACCAAATGTACCCATTTAAGTTTGGTTGCAGGACATGTAAGCTTACCTGCTCAGCCTCTGCCCCCTCACTCTGTGCCAAGTGACCGCTGTGGACACACACACCTCACCCCGCCCTGTGCCCTGCCACCCACCTAGAGTATCCTGCTTGACTCAGATACCCATGCTTGGCCACCTCACTGTGGACGTCCTCCTGGTCACTCTGTGCCGAGTGACCGCTGTGGACACACACACCTCACCCCGCCCTGTGCCCTGCCACCCACCTAGAGTATCCTGCTTGACTCAGATACCCATGCTTGGCCACCTCACTGTGGACGTCCTCCTGGTCCTAGCTCAGGTTTTGAGACTTTGAGCCAGTCCATCTCTCCACCAAGATGCCCCCTGAACCCTCCTGGGTGCTGATGACCCAAGTCCGTCCCCCTTCCACACCTCTCCCCTACACTGTCTCAGCCCAGCGCAGGCTCTCACTCCCTGAGGGGTAAACACGTGTGCCCTCAATTCCCCACCCCACATACCTGCACACACATATAACAGCTACCTTGTTCTCACCTAATGTATGATTTTAGGACTGCATTGTCAAGAGAAGAAAAGGCAGGAAAGGGGATTGGGAAATAGAAGAGCAAGAACATTTTATTTGATTCTTCATAATTTTTCTTTACTTCAGAGGGATCTTTAGGAACTAGCTTTTTGTGACGATCTATAAAGCTTATAAAATTCTTGAAGTTCAATACTTCTTTAATTTCGTTTCAATTTTTTTAAATGTTTAAGGTGATGTTAATTACCCTGATTTAATCATCATACGATGTATATATGTATTGAAATATCACACTGTACCCCATAAATATGTATAATTATTATGTGTCAATTAAAAACAAAAGTAAGAAAATTTTAAGTATCATCTGTTGTATGATTCCTTTCTAAATGTATGTCAATGCATACATGTATGTGTGTATGATTATGTGTGTGTGTATATATATAGAGAGAGGCACATGTATATATTTGCCTAAATATTTTTTCACTCCTTGTCTTTCCTTTCTTCTAGCCAACTTGAAGTTGTAAGGGAGAAAGGTGCTATCTTTTCCTTACCAATTTCAAGGTCTATGGCTAAGACCCCTATAATAAGAGACAGATGAATAAGAGAAAAGCATGCAGATTTATTTAATATAAGCTTTACAAGACCTGAGAGCCATCAGAAATGAAGACTTAAAGAAACAGGGAAATCTCTGTATATTGTATGCTACATCTGATGAAGAAGTGGATAGTTGTGGAGGAGATTGGACAAAAAAAGACATGATCTAATTGTAACACACTGGGAGAAACTTAGCAAGTCCTGTTTGTTCAGATTCTTCTTGGCTTCCATGTGTGACATTCCTTCCCTCCTGGAATAGAGTAGTACATCTTTCACATGACGGTCTTCGGGGTAGAAGGGAGGAGAAGGTCAGGGTGTGACCTTCCTGGTTTTTGTGGCCTGCTTCAGGGAAAAAGGGCAAAAGGAAGGTTAGAGAGGCCTTCCTGCTTGTGTTGTCTTCTCAGTTTCCAAGGTGCCATATTTTGGGGTGCAATTTTCTGTGCTTCATTAAGGTCAAGGAAAATTTTCTGGAATAATGCTACACTTGATCTTAGCCAAAAGACCAAGAAGTGATTGGAATGATGTTCAGCTAATGTTCATGATAATTATTTCTACAACTTGGGATTTGAAATTTTTTCCATTTTTATCTTTATATAATTGTGCTCTGTAGGAATTCTTGATAAGGAATATGTACTAATATCATTTTTATAAAAAGTAGTAGAGTGATTTTTCTTTAAAAAATTGGGGACCCAAATGGTAGCATCTTTTTTTTTAATATACTGAATTTTATTTTATTTTGCTATTTATTTATTTAAATTCAGGATATTATGGGGGTACAAACATTTTGCTCACATGTAATGCGTAGCCCAAGCCAGGGCTACAAGCATGCCCTTTCCCCATACATTAAGTATTACACTGCCATGTGAACACTTTAGTGTTGATCAGTTAATACCAGTTTGATGGTGAGTACATGTGGGACATGTTCTTCCATCCCTGTGATACCTCACTTTGAAGGATGGGCTCAATCTCTATCAGGGATAAATAAGAGGTTTTTCACCATTGTTTTTTGTAGTTGAGTAGTATTCCATGGTATAGATATACCACATTGTATTAATCCACTCATGTATTGATGGGCACTTAGGTTGTTTCCACATCTTTGTGATTGTGAATTGTGCTGCTATGAACATTTGAGTGCAGATGTCTTTATTATACGATGTCTTTTTTTCCTTTGGATAGATGCATAGTAGTGGGATTGCTGGGTCAAATGGTATTTCTAATTGTATCTCTTTGAGATATCTCCATATTGCTTTTCACAGGGGGTGTACTAATTTGCAGTCCCACCAGCAGTGTAAGAGTGTTCCAATCTCTCCACATCCATGCCAGCATTTGTTGTTTTTGGACTTTTTGATAGAGACCATTCTCACTGGAGTTACATGATATCTCATTGTGTGCTTTTTTTATTTCAGCATATTATACAAATGTTAAGGTTATGTATATTGCCTTTGCCCCCCACCTCCCTCGAGTTAGAGCTTTAAGTGTGACCATCCCCCAGACGGTGCGCCTTATATTCCTTATGTATGTGTATACCCATCCCTTCCCCCCCATCTGCCCAACACCTGATAAGTGTTATTCTTATATGTTCACTTAGGTGTTGATCAGTTGATATCAATTTAATGGTGAGTACATGTGATGCTTGTTTTTCCATTCTTGGGATACTTCACTTAGTAGAATGGGTTCCAGCTCTATCCAGGAAAATACAAGAGGTGCTATATCACCATTGTTTCTTGTAGCTGAATAGTACTCCATGGTAAACATATACCACATTTTATTAATCCACTCATGAATTGATGGGCACTTGGGTTGTTTCTACAACTTTGCAATTGTGAATTTTGCTACTATAAACATTCGAGTGCAGGTGTTTTTTTTATAGAGTGTCTTTTGTTCTTTTGGGTAGATGCCCAGTAGTGGGATTGCTGGATCAAATGGTAGATCTACTTGTGTCACTTTAAGGTATCTCCATATTGCTTTCCACAGAGGTTGAATTAGTTTTCAGTCCCACCACCAGTGTAGGAGTGTTCCTATCTCTCCGCATCCATGTCAACATTTATTGTTTTGGGACTTTTTGATAAACGCCATTCTTAGTGGAGTTAAGTGATATCTCATTGTGGTTTTGATTTGCATTTCCCTGATGATTAGCGATATTGAGTATTTTTTCAAATGTTTCTTGGCCATTAGTTTATCTTTTCTTGAAAAGTTTCTATTTATGTCTTTTGCCTACTTTTTAATGGAGCTGTTTAATTTTTTGTGCTGATTTCCTTGAGTTCTAAATAGATTCTAGTTATCAGACCGTTACTGAATGTGTAGCATGTGAAAATTTTCTCCCATTCTGTAGGTTGTCTGTTTGCTCTTGTGATTGTTTCTTTGGCTGTGCAGAAGCTTTTTAGTTTGATCAGGTCTCATTTATTTATTTTTGTTGTTGCTGTGATTGTCGTTGGGGTCTTCTTCATAAATTCTTTGCCTAGGCCAATGTCTAGAAGAGTATTTCCAACATTTTCCTCTAGAATTCTAATAGTTTCATACCTTAGGTGTAAGTCTCTTATCCAGCGTGAGTTGATTTTTGTGAGAGGTGAAAGGTGTGGATCCTGCTTCAGTCTTCTACATGTGGCTATCCAGTTTTCCCAGCACCATTTATTGAATGAGGATTCTTTTCTCCAGTGTATGTTTTTGTCTGCTTTGTCAAAGATTAGATGACTATATGAGGATGGTTTTATATGTGGGTTCTCAGTTCTGTTCCACTGGTCAATGTCCCTATTTTTGTGTCAATATCAAGATGATTTAATTACTACAGCTTTGTAGTATCATTTGAAATCTGGTAAATTGATACCTCCCATTTTGTTTTTATTGCCTAGAATTGCTTTTGCTATATGGGGTTTTGATTTGCATTTCCCTGATGATTAGAGGTGTTGAGCACTTTATTATATGTTTGTTGTCCATTAATCTGTCTTGTTTTGAAAAGTTTCTGTTTATGTCCTTTGTCCATTTATTGATAGGGTTGTTTGATTTTTTTCTTGTTAATTTTCTTAAGTTCTATATAGCTTATTGTTATCAGTCCTTTATTGGATGTTTAGAAAGCAAATATTTTCTCCCATTCTGTAGGTTGTCTATTCACTCTAATGATAGTTTCCTTGGCTGTGCAGAAGCTTTTTAATTTGATCAGGTCCCACTTGTTTCTTTTTGTTGCTGCTGTCATTGCTTTAGGGGGTCTTCTTCATAAATTCTTTACCTAGGCAGATGTCTAAAAGAATCTTCCCAACATTTTCTTCCAGAATTCTTAAGGTTTCATGCCTTAGGTTTAATTAAGTCTCTTATCCAACATGAATTGATTTTTGTGAGAAGTGAGAGGTGGGGATCCAGTTTCAATCTTCTGCATGTGCATATCCAGTTTTCCCAGCACCACTGATTGAATAGAGATTCTTTTCCCCAATGTATATTTTTGTCTGCTTTGTTGAAGATTAAATGACAATATGAGGATGGTTTTATATCTGGGATCTCCATCCTATTTCAAAGGTCTATATCTCTGTTCTTGTGCTAGTAACATGCTGTTTTGGTTTCTATAGCCTGTAGTAAAGTTTGAAGTCTGGCAGACTGATGCCTCCCAATTGGTTCTTTTTGCTTAAGATTGCTTTGGCTATATGAGGTATTTAAATCTTAATGATGGTTTATTTTTGAAATATGTTCTTAGGCATATGTATGATTAATTACTCCTTTATTTTTTGCAAATCTCTGGGTTTTCTGGTGCCTTAAGTGGTTAAGTATTTGTATAACCACATTTAGGATATATTATATTTTTTTAAAAATTTCATTTGGATGATGTACTTCTCAAAAAAGAATTTTCTAAATAGATAATTTAGGTTCCGGTGATCTTTAACCACTAAACCCTTAGGAATTGTTTCTTTTCTTGACAAACTGTGAAGACAAAGTTTAATTTTATAACTTCAATTATAACTACAGAAAGGGAAATAATGGAGAACAATATTTCCATGTCTTTCAATACAGAACTAAAATTTAATCAAATTATAACCACTGACAGGAAAATATCAATAAACAACAACAAAAAAACTTCATCTATCTTTCAATGTTTTCTCATTGATATTTATGCTTTTAAATAAGGGAATTAGAAAGTTGAAGTTACATTTAGTGGATTATTTTTAGGGTGAATGATGTTTGCCTTAAAGGTGGGTTTTCAAAACCAGATTGTCACAATGCCTAACAGAAATGATCTTTGGTAAAGAAAGCTAATATATTATATTCACTTGTTCAGTTGAATTTTTCCATTCAGTGATTATACATTAATTCCAATGTATGAAGTTTTGAGGATGTCCTTATGGGTTTCTTATGCAAGAAACATAGTTGTAAAACCTGCCATGTTATTTATATATTCTTATTCATATTGATACAATATTAAGCAATAATTAGATAGGTTTGAGATAAAGTGTGAAGCTGAATGTTCTCTTAAAATAATTTGACTATTGGACTCTGGTCTAGCTGAGCAATAGATACAAATTCAGGTGAGATCCAGTCATTTCATCGAAGAAAGTAGAGAGCAAAGGGAGTGCCAGGGATGTGTGGATTCGATCATAATCCGTTTGGAGTGGAAGGTCAGCAATGGTCTTCCCTAAGGAGGTGCAGTGAAGGCCTGTGGCCAGAAAGTCCACATCCATCTTCTGAGCACGAATAAATTCGATGACTTGAGAAGCTTTTTACTCATTATACAAGGGAGGTTAGAGAGGATACATGTTTGGGCAGGAGGTAGAAACAGCATGATATCAAGAAGAGAAGGCAGACTTTTCAGAAGTTAGAAAGAAGACAACTTAACATAGAGCCTGAATTCAGGTGACTGTCGTTCAAAGACAATTTCCAAAATCCTCTTTTCTGGACTCTGCACTTGCTTTATGTCCCTGTACTTTCATATAAATACTCAAAAATGACCAAATATACCAAAAGGAGCATTTCTTTCTTCTCATGGCATTTGCTAATGACTCTGGGAAGAGGACCTGAGACTAACATAGAGAAAAAAATGCACTTCAGTCAGTATCATGAACCATATTAAATAATATTCAAAACTACTTATTTTTATCAGTGTAGCAAATACTTATAAAGTCCTTTGAAGTGCATTGTATACTTTTCTCATAATGGAGTTGTGGATTTGACCACACTCTTTTTCCTTCTCCTTTATATGTTAAGTTATGCCTTTTGTTCTTAAGAGATTTTTCTTTGTTCAAAATATTTTTCTGGCATTTCACAAATCCAAGCCTTAGAGAAGAAACAGGGTACATCATTCCAATTTTTCTTTGGATTGGGAGAATCTCTTAGGATGGCACAGTCCTCCACGGTAAGTTTGTTGTTAGGCTCTCCTACATCCCAGAAGCTGAAAAAGAGTGACATGGGAGATTTTAAATACCATCAAAAAGAGATAAAGTGACCTCATCTACTAGGCTAGGCAAATTATATTCGTGTTATTTAACTTCACAGCAATTTTGTGAGGTAGGTATTATAATATTCATTTTCTTGATGAAGAAAAGGAATCTTGGAAAAACTAAATCATCTGTCTAAGTCATAGAGTTTGTGAGCATTGAAGCCTAGATGGATCTTTCTGATTTTATATTCTGCCATGCTCCTTCATGGTTTTAGACATAGAATGAGAAGTTATGGGAAAGACTGATACCTTAATGCTTTTGTTTTCTTTGCACTCACATCTCATATCAGGTTTGATTCTCTTTATTCTGCACAGAAGTATTAACTTAAGTGCACCCTTCAATATTGTTATGGTGCGGTAGTGAAGCAATGTTTCTAAAGTATCAGAGTATCTGGTCTATACTCTTAAAACTGTTGCTTATTAGCTGTGTAAGCCATTTAATCCTTCTGACCTTTACTTTCCTCAAATTCTAAATAAAGATGAATAACACTGCTGTATCTCAGGAAGGTGTAATTTGGGTAAAATGAAATAATGAACAAGAAAAAACTTTGAAAACTCCAGAATGCTGTGCTCTAAATGATATTAATGCCATTATTAAGGAGAAAAGAGACATCATTATGGGATTCTCATTTTCACTCCATAAGAATCTGCTGTCTTTTTCAAATAACTTTTTTTCCACATTTACTATAGTTTTGGAGCTTAAGACTCTTGATTCTATTCTTTGCCTCATCTTCATTTTCAATGGATGATTCTTCAATTCTAATCCACTTCTCATTTTCATTTATTAGTTCTCCTTTATTCTTGAGACAGTTCCAGGAAATGGGAGAGGTGGTTGCTTGTACTTCTCTTTTTTCTGTTCTACCCCAGTTCTTCTTCTTCTTCTTCTTCATTTTTTTTTTTTTTACAGCTTTTCTTCTTCCTGCGTCTGACACCACAAAGCATAGACCTGACTATATTTTACATCACAGAAGGAGGTTCTGAGAACTCCAACTGTGGTCTAGTTTAGGATTTGGGGTGGTACTAGAATTCTCCTACAGGAAGGTAATTACCTCAGAGACTCTCTGAAAGGTGTGCCGTCCACCCATTCCCACCTTCCCTCCACCACCTGGTCCGTCAGTCCAATATAAAACTCTATGTTGTTAGGTTTCATGTGGAAAAGGAATTCCTATGAAAGATACATAAGAAAAAAATAGGAGATCAATTATTTCAGTTTTGAACAAATACTGAAGGTAATTATTATTAGAAGAAGCAAAGTATGATCTGGACTAGAAACAATAGATAAATGGGCCTGAAATTATAAGATCTTGGAAGATTATCTACTGATTTTTTTATTGTGGCAAAATACGTAGAAATCAAATTAAGCTGACAAAAATGACTTTCAACAGGGGAGAGTCTGAATAATTCCTTCAAATTTTACCTACTGTTATTGGTAGCCAAATCTACTGTATATTTTGAGCACAAAACATTATTAACCACAGTTTAAAGATAATGGACAATGTTTGCTTGCCTTCTTTCATATGTTCATAAATGTAATAATCATACATATGTTCATAAATGTAATGATCATTATAAACTTAACTCCCCACTTTCTTTTTTTCCCCCTGAATAACTAAAGGAACTTCACATGGAAATACTCATTTTCTTAGGTTCTTCTAGTAATGAAAATAAATTAAAGTAGATAGTGGCATAAAGAAATAGCAGGAACAGCATGCATTTCAGCACATTCATTTAACAAATAGTCATTGAGGGTCAAACACCGTGCACTTGTATGGAAAAGGGGACGGGCCCTGTGAAGAGTGTTACATCGAGCCTGTGCTCCATCTACCTGTTCCTCCAGTGTGTTGATAACCACCAGATGAGCCCCCATGGCTGAGCAGTTTTTTGAACTTAATGCCCAGGTCAGAGTGTCAGTAAAAAAGAAGTAGCAGCTAGATTGAAAATGTTTCCAGTTCAATGGACAGCAGTTCTTGACTGAATCTAGGAGGAAAAAAGTTTCAGTAAGTGTCTCACATGACCTGAGTAAGGAAACATAAAGCTTCATTTGGCCCCATCATTTACAGTCAGAAGCACTGGAATCCCTCATTCACACCCCATGTCTTACTATCTAAGATGTTAGATAATTCCAATGTCAATAAACATGAAAAGCAAATTTCTTGTCTTTTGAGTGTAATCCTTATTTGCTAGATGCCAGTGCCAGAAAATGCAACAGTGTACACAATCTATCTCAGTTGTGCTATTGATACAGAGCTCTGTTCTCTGTTGCCAAGGTCAGAGAAAGGTGCGTATTTTATTTGGTGACCCCCAAGCAACCATTTCTTATGCTGCCCAGACAGTGTACCCTTAACCAAATCTCCAAACTGTGGTGTATGGCTAGGTTAGATCTCCTAGAATTATAGAATTTCAGACTTTTAAGTCTACTAAAAATAAATAGTCTAATCTCTCTCAATTTAATGGTAAGAAAATTATAGCTCAGAGAAGGAAGTCACTTTCCTACGATCATGTACCATTTTTCTAAGACTTGGATGATAGATAAGAGCACAGGGAGTATTATTCCTGTGGTATTTATAATTTTCCTACTCTATACATTTTTTTCTTCTTCACCTCATTTTGAAAGCAGTTAAATGAAAAAAAAGTACACTCCAGACAATAACACCTTCTACTTCTAGATTTACTGTTCAGATATATGCCCCAAATTCATTCTAAAAGTTTACTATAATGTCCTCAAGATTTCCTGTCCCAATACTAACTGCATTTCCAAAGTTCTATTCCTGTACTCTTACCAACTCCTCATCATTATCTTACAGTGCAGACAGGATTTTAAATTTGCTTTCAAAAAAGAGTATCTAATCCAACGATATTTTACCTATTCCAAAGTCAATCTAGAAGCCAAAAAATGTTGATATATAACTTTGATGTTTAATGTTGAGGACTGTTATACCTGATCCATCATTGTCACAGGAGAGCTCTGTGAAATTCTCTTGAAGCTGGAAATTTTTCTCATCACAGTTTTGGAAGATGTGATATGTTACTGTAAGGGAAGTGGTAGACTTAATGTTAGTTACTATTTTTTTTAAGTAAACAATGTATAATTTTATTTATAAATAACTTGACATTAATTTTCAGTGTTTTCTGAATACTCAGTATGAAAACGTATTACTTTATTTGCTTATAGGGTATTAGAGATGTGATTATGCTTTAAAAGCTATACAATCATCTTGCATGACACTATTTGCATAATAAATCACATATTTATACTGTGGTTGCCACATGTAGAAAATTTTATGTTTATAAGATACTGTAAAATTTAGAAAAAAAGTCCTCCCCCAAAGCAAAATCCTTCTTTGCAAGATCTGTTTATAAACATTTTATATGTGCATGAGGAAACCTGAGGAAGTCAGTGACACATGAAGTATGCAAATTTTGGTAATCCTTTAATTAAATTTATGATGGGCTTGTGTTGCTAACTAAGATTGTGCAATGAAAAGTTTCCATACTGAAATGTGTGCCATCACTGAATAAGACAAAAATCTACAATAAAACCTAGTAAGATAATGTCAGCCAAGAAATAAAAATAAAATAAAAATTTAAAAAGCATGAAAGCTTTATATGCTCTTACTCAGAGGAGTTTCTCATATTTCAAGATCTGCTAGTGGAATGATAAAACATTGTAAAATCTTATAGTGTTGCAGAGAATAAAATAAGAGAGATAATATTGAAAGTGAACCGTGCATGGTATTATGGAGAGTAGAGAAGGCAGGTTGAAGATAGGAATAGGAGTAAGCTGTGTCCGTAGTAAGCTAAGGACATAGTTACTATTTTTTGGTAAAAAAATCAATTTCCTCAGTTTTGCATTCATAACAAAAGTGCCAATAATTACCATAATATTTCCTTACTGTCTACTTCTTCCACATGCAGAGGCACTGAGATTTGCTTACTCAAAGAAAGAAGAGGGAATTCACATTTCATGGTTTTCCCAATTTATAAAGATGAATACATTTTATTTCGGGCCCAACAGCCCAGACAAAATAAATATGTTTGCACATCCTCTTATGTCAAGTCTAACCCTCTCTACCCTTCCTTCCAAAAAGTAATTTGTCATATCTCTGGTCCTGACTAGTGGGTTCAAGCTCTAAACTAGGACCTCCTAGGGAAGGTGACACTAATGATAGCGGTATAAAGGGTGGTGGTGGGGGGTGGAATTCAAGGCATTAAGGAGATAAAAAATGTCTATCATGAAAATGGGTCAGAAATTACTGAAATTTGGTAATAGGTTTTTGCCTTGAGGAGTAACCTGGAGGTTAATAGGGAAAAAATTGAAATAGACAGAATATTTGAAGAAGAACAGAATCTATAGACATCAAGAAAGAGTTTACTCCTAGTATTCATCAGGGAGAATTAGATCAAATTTGACCTTCAGAACCCACCAACACATCTGGTGATAAAACAGGCACTCAGAAATAGGATGGAGACACCAGCAACAGTCCATAAAAACACCTGGGAAGTAAAGCATCCTCTTTCTGTAGAAAAAAAGACACAAACATGGTCAATCTTCCCTAAACTAGATACAAAAGAGATGGAACAAAAGAGATAGAACAGATTCTTATTCATCCTTGCTTATTTCCTTCTACTTGCTTTGTCTATATCGAGTTATCCCCAAACTTAAGCATGCATCAGAATCACTTGGAGGACTTGTTGAAACACGGATTGCTGAGCCTCACCCACAGAGTTAGAAATTCAGTAGAGCATGTATGGAACCATGTTCCCAGGGGCTTCTGATGCCGCTGGTCTGGGCCACCCTTTCAGAACCACTGAAGTAATCCATCACTCATTTTAAGACTGACTGATGAACTCAGATATACAATTCTTCTTTTCTAAGCCATTCACATTTTCTGAGGTTTTCTCCATTCTTTTCCTCTCTTCCTTTTCTTTCTCCCCCTTCTGCTTTTCCTCTATTTCTCTCTTCTTTTCAGTGTCTCATTTTTCAAGCTCCTTGTAAATTAGTCAGATAACAATTGACAGCCATCTACTCGTTTCCTTCCAAAATACATTTTATAGACAAGAAAAGTGAGTTCCACAGAAGTGAAATGACTTCCCCAAAAGACACAGTGTATACAGAAAGGGTCGAAATAGCAGTCTGATAGCTCTCCCTGCACTCAAGTCCAGCAAGCTTTCCAGTATGACATATAGTTTTCTAATATCTCTCTTTCTCTCTTCCTTTCTCTTTCTCTCTCCCCACCCTTTTACTTCACTGAATACTTTTCTATTATTCTGTCTCTCACCATATTTGTCACCTGTTCCAAAAAGAGATGTATGAGATAAAAGGCAGAGTTGCAAATTTTACCTGGGCGTGGTAATGCAGGTAATTTGGATGAATTCATTCTTTCTCTCTCGTTGTCTCTTTCTCCCCACTTCTGGATCTTTCTCCCTTTTCTCAGTTTCTGAGTCCAGGAGTTGGTAATATGCAGGGAAAATCAATATTGAAAGATGAACACTTCATCCGTTTTTAAAGAAGTCCAACTCTAATAGACACAGAATATTAATTTGTTTTGTGGTTGTGCATTTAGGTAAGGATTTCCTTTCTTGCATAAGGAGGACAAGGGACTTTACTGGACAATGTGCCAGCTCTTACTCTGGTAAATGACACAATGAGGAAATTATGAAACGGTGACTATCAACACAAGTAGGCTGACTACGGGAAAATATGAGAAACTTTAAAAAAAATGTTGCTTTATTTTGTTGGACAAAATATCTTTACTTTCTTCAAAACCTAACTTATCCCCCAATTTTTCCTTCACAATGTGGAGGCCACCTCTGCACTCTCAATTTCACTTTTTTTTTATTTTGGCATATTATGGGGGTACAGATTTTAAGGTTTCAATAAATGCCCATTTCCCCCCCTCCCTCAATTTCACTTTTAAGCTGTACTATTCACATATTTGGTAACTGAAAAGGAGACCTAAACAGCACTCGGCACAGAGCTGAGCATATAGTATATGCATTTATGACATAGCAACATGAATTTTTTAATCTTTTATTTTTTTTTCTTTTGTAGCTCTTAAACATTCTATTAATAGTATGGCGGGCTTATCTCCCTCTTATCAAAGCACTATTAGGCTGCTTTGTGGGTTCATCTTAGCAGGAAAACCTCATGTGGTGTGACATTTGAAGCTCAGCTCAGTTTCTTACAACATAGTGTGGTTTCTGAAATCTCAGAGACTCAGCAGGTAGTTTAATTCTCTTGTTCTGAACTTTTGGGGGATTTTAGTACATATCACAGCCTACACGAGGAGAAATGGATTTGAATTTCAGAAGAAGCAATTTCAACCGGATATTAGAATTTCATATTTCTATGGACAGTTAGTTAGACAGGTGCCATCTCCTTTCATAAAGACACTGAAGAATGAGATCATATTGGTCTCAGCTGATACAAGTGCCTGCATGTCAGGAGGCATGAGTGTGATATACTTGACTCCACACACCCAATGACTCACACATTTTCCATGTGTTAGAAAACATCCTTGTTCTTAAAGGGACTTTTTATTATTTTGATACACTGGCCAGTTTCAACCTCTGCAGTCTCCACTTTACAGTAATACAGATTTATTAAAAATGTTTTAAAATTATGTGTGTATATTATGGAATATAAACATATTTAATATGTGCGATCGTAAATGGCTTTTGACCAGTAAAAAAAGAGAAATTATCTAGTGAATGAGTTATATGAATTATTATTATTTTTTTTTTTATCATGCCAGGTCTTTAGCTTTATTCAAGATATTAACAAAATGATCCCCAAAGTAATATAAATGTAGACACTTAAAAGTCCAGATATGAAATTTCAAGAAAATCCTGAATTCAGTCTGAAGTCAATATTAAACCAAAAGTTGAACCAACTCTACAAATCATAAATTCTATTTTCCTTCTTAAGTTCATTATATTTTCTGAGTCAAGTTACCAACTTAGTTAACTTTCTTTGATACTGGTATTTGGAATCATTTTAACATGGTTTAACATCTTTAAATTCTAAGTGTGTACTTGTTCTGAATATTCTTATTATAATTAAAAATATAAATCCAGAAGCAACACCTCTTTTTTAAAGAGGAATTTCAATTAATAAACATAGAAGGAATGAGAGAAATAGAAAATCACCATTAGAACACCACAGTAGTAACTGCCACAAGCAAGATCTGCCAAGGGATAGTAAAATGGCTGGGCAAAAGTTTAAGCAGAAACAGGACATTTGCATAGTCTCCAAGTATCTCCAGCAAATATTTAGTAATTACAAGGAAAACATAGTAAGTTTACAGTAGAGAATCCTAGCAGACACCAGCCAAGCATAGTGATCAAGGTTAATAATACCAGAAATACATTGCATTAGGTATCCCCTGTTTTGATACACTGTCACAGAATAGAGGACACAAAAGAGACATGACAACTAAATGCAAGGTGGGATCCTGGATTGGATCCTGGAATAGTAAAAGGATATTAATCAAAAGACTAATAAATCTCTACTTTTTAAATTCTCTACTTCAGTTAATAGTATCGTATCAAGGTTAATTTCTTAATTTTGACAAATATTCTATAGTTATGCAAGACGTTAACACAAGGAGAAGGTGGGTGGAGGATACGTGAGAACTCTGTACTATTTTTACAACTCTTCTGTAAGTCTAGAATTATCTCAAAAACTTTTAAAAAACTGTTTAAAAGCATACACACATATATGTATATATGTACATAACATGGGTACATATATCTAGAAATCAAGATGTCATGGAAATTGGCATCTTGGGGCACTCAGTAAAATAGTAGTGTTCTCTTCTGAATTACTCATTGTCTCACTGGTAACTTAGCTTTAAAGTCCTCCCCTTTCTATATTTTTAGTCTCAAGTATAATTTTCTAATTTTCATAGAAAAGCCTTTTTAATTCCATATTAGGCCAGAAATTAAAATCCAAAAATAAATTTACCACTATATTATCTGGCAGAATCACTCACCCCAACCATAAGACCCAGCCAATATTTTTACTACATTTCCTCTCATCTAGTATGTTTGTACTGATTTGGTTTTGTTTATGAGGAATGGAGACAGATGATAGATTTAGTATCACTAATAGGCCTGGAAGTCTAGGGAAAAAAAACAAACCACTTGGATATCTTATGAAGAAACAGTTGTTTTTCTAAGAACAGATACTGTATACTAGAACTCACCTCAGATGTAAACAGTAAGTTATGTACCTAAGTCTCTTCTACTACCCACCAAGGCTAGGTAAGACCCTTTCAATATCCCTTCCATAAATTTGGCTCTAAAATGACTGTTAATAATGGTAAAAACATCTTTTTATGAAACAGGCATTTCTATATATGCAGTTTACAGAAATAAAGATAAACATCAAATCTACCTTTAAAAGAAGAAAATAATTAATTTCCCACTCTAGCTATGGCTGATTCATTCCCTGAGCATGAATACCCTTTAACCCTCATTGTTTTTAACTATAAACTGAGCTGAAATCTGCTCATAGGAATCTTGATGGTGAAACTAATCTTAGATGGAGAATGGTATTACTAAATAATTATATCTATTACTTTTGTACTCATTATTTCTACTCACTGTGGCATTTAAAGTTTCATCTATTGTCTATCACAATGCTCTCTATGGAAGCAGCAATAGTGAAAAGATAATTACACTTTGTTTAAAAAAACAGATAATTTTAAAATGGATCTTTATCCAAATACAATAAAAAAGCAAAAAAAGTAAAATGTCTACAAACATTTTCATTCTATGTCAATGACATTTCCAAATTCGCCATCCACTACTACCATGAAAAGCAAAAGTGGTAAAAACAATCTACACAACACGGGAGACAAACAATTTACCTCAGGAACTCACTACACATTGCAATACATTCAAATGGTGAAAAGATATAAATTTATTCAGAATTGTCACACTATCGGGCTGTCAATATAGCCTCTTGAATAATTATATTAAACATATTACTACAAAATGTACCAAGAAGTAGAGAATACTGTATTTGTGAACTGCAAGTAACAAAACAAAACAAGTCCAATAGTCTAAAGTCTAAGCTGTAATTGACACATGAAAGGTATGCTGAAAGCAGTCCCAATGTACAAAAAGGTGACAAGTAATCCAGATGTTTTAAAAAAAAAAAAAAACAGATCCTGTTTGTCTCAGATTATAGCCAGTCTCATCTGGTAGGTTTCTATTATAAAGCCTGTTACATAAGGTATATTTCCCTCCTGCTGATAAGAAGCAGTTTGCAGATATCCATAAATTTCTTAAAGAGTGAGTCTACTTGGCAATATTGTTAGTTCCATAGTTTCCTATTATATTCAATCGTCTGAAAACTGAAAGCAACTTCATAACTAAAATGTTCTTCCATTCCTTTATCAATTTTTTCAAATTTTAAATCAAAGGAAAGTTGGAATGTATTGCTTCTTGTCATCAACAGGCATTTAGAAAAGAGGGTAATTAACCAAAATCAAGAGTTCTTTGGTCAAGTTAGTAACAGGCTTCCACTTTGTTCTAAATCCTTTCATAATCCTTTTTTTTATTAAATTTCTTTCTATTTTTATAGGTGACGACTCGGTCTCGCTCAGGCTGGTTTGAATCCTGACCTTGGCAATCGCCCCCTCGCCTCCCAGAGTGCTAGGATACAGGCGTGAGCCACGCGCCGGCCTCATAATCTTTTTAAAAAAATTTTTAGTATGGCCTGGATCTTACAAACAGCCTCCTTCCGGCTGCCGGACAGAGTCCTGGCCCCCAGTTTCAACTGAATCCAGTTCCAAAAGTTCCTTGGTTAGCATTTCTTCAGAAGCCAGTAGCTTTGTCTGTGTTTTTTCCTACGAATCTTCTACTTCTTGTTCAAGATACTGGACCTTCTCCAGCACATGTATGATTTTTTTAATACTTGGGGGAGGACCTTCATCTGAAATAAGCACTTGTCAGGAACATTATTACTCGATCTTGATTGCTGGGATGTTCGTTGGTGGTGTTAACATACAGCTGAGGCTCAGCACTATATTGGACTTGGGAATCCAAAAGATCTGAATTATCATTGTTCGCTGTCCCGAGGATTCGTACAGATGGACACTGCAAGGGAAGTTGTGCCGGTTCATGCGTTGATCTGATTGGCTACAGGGGTATGAGGAGTCCTCGGGCTGCTGCAGAGACGGCGAAGGAGGCGGCCGAGGAGAGCCACTGCCGGGCCATGGCGAGGCACTTCCGGTCAGGTACGGATTCCGAGGTGCCCGGAGGGCGCAGCTGCAGGCCAGGGCAACGCGCACCCGTGCCGTAAGCTCCGGGAGAAGCCCACGCGCCCTCCTGTGGCCCTGCAGGTGGTCCTGACTGTGGGACACTGGGACTCCCATCCTCATAAGGATAGTGAGGCGGGGTCACTCCGGGTTCTGCGAAGCAGGATATCCTGGAACCTGCCCCTAAAGGGTGCTTCAGTCCGACAATCATGATAGCACACCGAGGACTGGATTGGGCTGTCCCGGTGAGTAAGAGCTGGAACGTCTGTGGAGTAATTAGCAGAGTCTATCCGGTGCGCAATTAAGCCCAGAGTACGAGGCAGTATCTGCCCAGGGCCGGGGCAGGGGACC